CTGTGTCAAGGAGCATGTACAGCCAAAACCGGTTTGGCTCAGTGGTAGAGCGTCAGTCTGCGGACTGAAAGGTCCCAGGTTCGATTCCGGTCAAGGGCATGTACATTGGTTGTGGGCACATCCCCGGTAGGGGGTGTGCAAGAGGCAGCCGGTCGATGTTTCTCTCTCATCGTCGTTTCTAGCTCTCTATCTCTCTCTCCTCCTCTCTGTAAAAAAAAAAAAAAAAAAAAAAAATCAATAAAATATATTTTTAAATATATATATATATATATATATTTTTTTTAAAAGAGTACGTATGTACATCATTTTTGTCTTTTTAAAAATATGTTTTTGTTGATTTCAGAGGCAGAGGAAGGGAGTGGGAAAGATATAAACATCAATGATGAAAGGGAATCATCAATTGGCTGCCTCCTACACACTCCCTACTATAGATCTGAGCCTGAAACCCAGGCATGTGCCCTGACCAGGAGTCGAACTGTGACCTCCTGGTTCATAGGTCAACACTCAAACACTGAGCTATGCCAGCTGGGTGAACATGTACATCTGAAACCTGTGTCTAAGTGGACCTTGTACCAGTGTATGCTCCCACCAGCACATTTTGAGGGTGCCCCTCCTCCCACACCCTACCACTCTCTACGTTGGGAGAGAGGAGAAAAATCTTCAATATGAATGCCAACAGCTCTCTGGATGGTTCCATAAAGGCCCTGCCTCAACCAACCTTATAAAAAAAAATCTGATAGAGGCACTAAAAATTATTATTTCTTATTATATTCTAGAGGCCCAGTGCATGAAATTCGTGCATGGGGGCTGTCCCTCAGTCCAGCCTGCACCCTCTCTAATCTGGGACCTCTTGAGAGATGTCCGACTGCCTGTGTAGGCTCGATCCCAGTGGGCCCCTCTCACAATCCAAGACTGCTAGCTCCCAACTGCTCATCTGCCTGTCTGCCTGATTGCCCCTTACCACTTCTGCCTGCCAGCCTGATCACCCCCTAACCACTCCCCTGACAGCCTGATCAATGCCTAACTGCTTCCCTGCTGACCCAATTGCCCCTAATTGCCCTCCCCTGAAGGTCTGGTCTCCCCAACTGCCCTCCCCTGCAGAATTGGTCACTCCCATCTGCCCCCCCTGCTGGCCATATTGTGGTGGCCATCTTGTGTCCACATGAGGGCAGCCATATTTGACACATGGGGGAAGCCATTTTGTGTGTTGGAGTGATGGTCAATCGCATATTACGTCTTTATTGAATAGTATGTATATTTTTAAAGATATATTTTCTTATTTCAAAACTAGAGGCCTGGTGCATGAAAATTCATGCACTGGAGCAGGGCTCCCTCAGCCCAGCCTGACCCCTCTCACAGTCTGGGAGCCCTCAGGGGCAGAAGGCAACCCAGCAATCAGGGAAAGGCAATGCCCCCATAACACCTCTGCTGTGCCACTGCCAGCAGCACAAGCCTCAGCTGGCCCTGGTTACCTGAGCCTTGGGTGGCCCTGGGTGGCTGGGCAGCCACCATCCAAGGCTTGCCTATGCCTTGGGCCAGTCCTGGGCAGCTGGGGGGCTGAGAAGATTGGGGGACTCTGGAGGCAGGTGTGTGGCCCCAGCAGGATAAAGGGGACTGGGTGCTGCCATCTTGTGGCTGTGGGTGCTACCATCTTTGAGGGCAAGGCAGTCAATTAGCATATTCCCTCCTCATTGGCTGTGGACACTGCCATCTTTGAGGGCAGAGCAGTCAATTACCATATTCCTTCCATATGCCATCTTTGAGGGCAGAGTAGTCAATTACCATATTGTCTGTGGGTGCCGCCATCATTGCAACATGTGAGGGTCAATTAGGATATTCCCTCTTTATTAGATAGGATAGTAACTAGCCCTGGCTCAGTAGTTAGAGTGTCAACCCTCACACCAAAGTGTCTCTGGTTCAATTCCTGATCAAGGGCATGTGTCTGGGTTGCAATTTCCATCCCTAGCCCCAGTCGGGGAGGCACCTGGTTGATGTGTTTCTCTCACATTGATGTTCTGCTCTCTCTCCTTCTCCTCCATCCCTTCCAAAAAGAGAGGAAAAAATATAGTAACTAATGTATCCTATATAAGTAAGAGGGAATTTGACCATCACTCCACTACAAAGATGGCAGTACCCAAAGTGGAGGCAGGGGTTTCCATAATAGAAGATGGCTGCACCCACTGTGAAGCCGAGTTCCCGTAATGAGCCTTAATGAACAATCAGCAGGGAGGGACCTGAGTCTGTGCCCCCCCCCCATGGGGCTTGACAGGGGACCTCAGGCTGTGCCCCTCCACCCTGGAACAAGGCCAGAGGACCTCAGGCCATGTCCCCTGCCCTGGCACCAGGCTGGGGTACTTCAGCCATGCCCCCACCCAGGCACACCTTCCACCCGGGCATCAGGTCAGGACATTTTAGGACACACACCCCGCCCCAGTGCTGGGGCTGGGGACCTCAGGCCATGCCCCTGACCCAGCAGGGCTTTATGGGGGACCTGAGGACTTGATGGGGGACCTCAGGTCATGGCCCCCCACCTGGCAGTGCTTGATGGGGGACCTCAAGGCATGTTCCCTGCCCCAGCCTGGGCTGAGGGACCGGAGGCTGTGCCCCCCCACCCAGCAGGGCTTGACAAGGGTGGGGCCAGCCGAGTCTGGGTCTAGCCCAATGCAGGAGGGCAGGGGGGAAGCCGGGTCTGGGTCTCACGTGATTTTGAGGTGCACGTGGGTGGGACTTGTCTCTGGATCCCATGGTGCACCCCAGCTCTGACAGGTGGAAATTTTTCATATACGTTTTACTAATTTTCTTTCATCTCTGACACTTCTTTTATAGAAAAAGGTCAAATAGCATTATTAAAATACTAGAGGCCTGGTGCACGAAATTTGTGCACAGGGTGGGGGAGTGGGGAGGGTGTCCCTCAGCCCAGCCTGCACTCTCCCCAATCTGTGACCCCTCAAGGGATGTCTGACTATCTGCGTAGGCCCTATCTGGGCAGTTGGACATCCCTCTCACAATCCAGGACTGCTGGCTCCCAACTGCTCGCCTGCCTGCCTTCCTGATTGCCCCTAACTGCTTCTGCCTGCCAGCTCGATCATTCCCTAACTACGCCCCGGCCAGCCTGATTGATGCCTAATTGCTCCCCTGACAGCCTGATTGCCCCTAACTGCCCTCCCCTGCAGGACCAGTCACCCTTAACTGCCCTCCCCTGCAGGCTTGATCCCCCCAACTGCCCTCCCTTTCAGGCCTAATCCCTCTCAAGTGCCCTCCCCTGCTGTCCATCTTTTGGTGGCCATCTTGTATCCACATGGGGGCAGCCATCTTGTGTTGGAATAACAGTAAATTTACATATTACTCTTTTATTAGATAGGATAGAGGCCTGGCGCACAGGTGGGGGCCAGCTGGTTTGCTCTGAAGAGTGTCCTGGATCAGGGTGGGGGTTCCCCTGGGGCATGGGGCAGCTTGGGCGAGGGGCCTGTGGTGGTTTGCAGGCCAGCCACACCCCCTGGCGACCCAAGCAGAGGCCCTGAATCTGGGATTTATTTATCTTCTATAATTGAAACTTTGTAGTCTTGAGCGGAGGCCTGGGCCAGCCAGGGTGTGCAGGAAGCTTGGCTTTCTCCATTGCCGGGGAAACCCAAGCTTCCTGCTTGCTCTGTGGCCATAGCCATCTTGGTTGGGTTAATTTGCATACTCACTCCTGATTGGCTGGTGGCTGTGGCTTGTGGGTGTAGTGGACATATGGCCAATTTGCATATTACTCTTTTATAGATAAGATTTCCTCTAATTAATCCCCTTTTAATGTGAATGAATTTCATGCACCAAACCACTAGTTCACTTATAAAGAAAAGAACATTTTCCTATCAAATGCCCCAGGAATCTAAAATAAAATTGTCCTTTCCTGTAGTCCCCAGAATAGGTCCCAGCACTTCTTCATTCAAAGAGTCTCTCACTTGCTGCCTCACATCATTCCCATGACAAGCAGTGACATTTCAGACTTTTATCATCTTGTACTTGGACTATGGTGGGAACTTCCTAACTGGTGTTCCAATCTTCAGTGGCCACTCCTGTGCCCTCCCCAACTCAGACCCATCCTGTTCCAAAACAGCCACATTATTTTCCTTTCACCCTGTCATTCCCAGGGTCATGAAAAGCTTTCGTGTCATCCAGGATTGGATGGAGTAATCTGCAAACACCTCAGTGAAGCCATCAGGAACCTTCCACGAATGCGACTCGCTCCAAATGCTCAACTATATTTCTCACCCCTCCCTTTTCCACACTTTGTACTCAGACAGGCCAGCCTCCTCTTTGGAGCAGGATTCCCACCTCCATGCATTTCTTCCCACCATTCCTTCGTCCTCCAACACCCTTCTGTCCTGTTTTTATCCTATCCTTCAAGCCCAGCTTACTTAAGCATCCTCTCTTCTATAAAACTTGGCCTAAGCACTATTACATGTGAAAATTTCCTCCCTGATGGGGAAGGTCTGACTGAAGGGTCTGACCATGATCAGAGACTCCTAGTTTTGTTATCGTCATTTTGTGTGTTTTTTAAATCAATCTTTATTGTTCATATTGTTACAAAGGTTCCTCATTTCTTCCCCCCTCCACCAGGTTCCCACCGCACCTTCCGCCCCCTCCCCATCCCCCATTGTCCTCATCCATAGGTGCACAGTTTATGTTCAATCTCTTCCTCCCTCCCTTTCCCCGATAGTAAATCCCTTTTCAGATAGTAGATCTGTTACTTAGCATTTTCTCATATCAATAATACCACCACATGCCCAATGATACATTTCACACAAAAGACATTTCCAAATAGGTCAACCAGCCTCATCCAGGCCCCACCCAAGGCACTCACAGATCAACACCCCAGCCCTATACTAACTCAACACATCCAGATCTAAGCCTTCATCACTTGATTCAGCAGACCCTCAAGTTCCCACAAAAGTTTCCAGCCATGTCTGAGAGGCAGCCGTGGGGCAGGGGCAGGCGAGGAGCGAGCTGTTCCAGGCCTGGCTGCTCCGGGCCTGGCCTCTGTTGCTCTGGTTCGTTCCACAACCAGCTGCTCCGGGTCTGGTCACTGCCGCTCCCGACCTAGTTGCTCTGGACCTGGCTGCTGCTGCTCCGGGCCTGGCCGCTCCCAGCCTGGCAACCGCTGCTCCGGGCCTGGCCGCACCAGACCCAGCTGCTCTGTGCCCAGCTGCCCCGGGCCCGGCCGCTCCGAGTCTGGCCACTCCCAGCCTGGATGCTCCAGGCTTGGCTACTGCTCTTCTGGACCTGGCTGCTCCCAACCCGGCTGCTCTGGGCCCGGCTTCTCCGGGTCCAGCCACTCCGGGTCTGGGTATTCCTGGACTGGCCACCCTGGGCTTGGCTGCCTCCGCCTCAGGTCTGGCTGCTCCAGTGCTGGCTTTTGTTGCTCTGGTTCTGGCTGCTGCTGCTCTGGGGCCTGGCCGTTGCTGCTCCGGGCCTGGTTGCCATTGCTTTGTGCCTGGGCACTCTAGGCCTGGCTGCCGCTGTTCCAACATTCTGTCCTTTTTTTTTTTAAACACATTTATGTTGCAATGTTGGCTGGTGAGTTGACTTCTGACTTAGTCTTTGATTTTTCAAGATCTTCTTTGTATTCTTTCTTAAGTAATTTTACTATCTTTTGCTCTCACTTGATTTTGGCCTGTGGCACCCCTTTGTTCTCCGTGGGCTCCCGCGCTGCTCCAGCCTGTTGCCGGGGTCGGCGCCGCCCAGGAAGCAGCCCCCGGCCTTGGCTCCGTTGCCCGCGCTCAGAGGTCGATGGCTTGGGGGCCCCGTCACCCGGCTCCCTGCTGGCGCCCGGCTGGCCGGTGTCCGGCAGGGGCTCCTGCTCCCCGTCGCATTCCTCCAGTCTGGAGCTTTTTTTTTTTTTTCTCCTTCCCGATAGGTGAGTTCAGGATCAGAGTCAACAGACTGTCCTCTGCGCGCAGTGCGTGCGATTCTGGGGGCTCCGCTTTTCGCCACTCCCTTGGGATACGCCTCACAGCCCTGTCTCCCCCTGCCCGAGCCTGGGTCCCCAGGGTCTGGTCCAGGACTGGGGTTCAGAGCAGTCCAGACTGAGGCTCAGCGCCACCAGAGGCTGTTTCTTCACGCTAGGGTAATCCAGCATCAAAGTCAACATTCAGTCCTCTGCGCACAATGTGCGCACGACTCCGGGGGCCCTGCTTTTCGCTGCTCGCTTGGGATTCCGCCTCACAGCCCCGTCTCCCCCGCCGGAGCCTGGGTCCCCAGGGTCTGGCTCATAACTGGGGTCAGCGCTGCCGGTTCGGGGGTTCAGCCCAGGCTGGGGGTTTTATTTGCTAGGGAACGCCAGGCAGCACCCAGCCCTCTCCTCCTCTCCGGCTGCAACCTCTCCGCGCGCGCAGGTGCGGGCGAGCGCGCAGCATGTCTCCGTACCTTAGGCTTTTTTTCAGCTCCTCTGATTTTCCTTCTGGTTTTCTCTTTCCTTCTTGTTGTAGAATTTTCAGTCAGTCGACTACCTGTAGCTCTGGGCGATGTCCACTCTACATTTTAGTTGTATTCCATTGAAATTGTTGTGTGCTGCTGCGGTTAGGTGTCTACCCGAGCAGCCATCTTGGATCCTCCTCCTATTGGTATTACCATCATTTTGTTTTAATACTTCTTGCTTTTCCAAATAGATCATAAACTCAAGGGAAAAGGCATGTCTTTTTACTGCTTAAAACACACAACTTTATTGATGACAAAAATAAAATCTCAAATGTATAAACTTAAGTCCACACAAAGGACCAAAGACTACCTTACTTATGAAGAAATAGCTTAGTTTTTGCTCATGAAAAATACTAAAAACATCTCAAACTACACAAGTTAAAAAGCAACACATATATTTTCAGTACAAGTTTGAATTAATCTGGTGTTCATAAAACAGTCCAGCAACAGACCATCATAAATAACATCAGTATCGAAGTTATAATGGAATATACAAAGTGTATTACCCCAAGGCTGCAAAACCAAACTATTACTCAGATTTGTTTGGAAACACACAACTAATTAGAGTTTACTTAATAATAGCTCAACTCTTTCTTTCACCTCAGGGTCTTTGTATTCTTCTGCTAAGACTCGAAGTTTCTTGGCACATGCTTTAGGTCGTTGAAATACGAAATAAAGGGAATTTTTACTGAATTTTTTCTGGGTAAATACTCTTGCTCTTCTTTTAAAATGGTAATTTATATTTTCAAATAGTGAAAGAGCATTAATAATATTCTCTTTTGTCTCTTTCTTGCTAAAAATATTAATTAGTGATGTTGGTGCACTGGCTATGAGCAAATCTTTTGTCATAGATGGATTTTTAGAGAAATTCAAAAGCATTCCCAAAATATGGTCTTTCGTTTCTCTACTTCCCACAGTTAACAAACGAAGAAATTCTGAAATATAATTTGTAACCATATGCTGATATTCACTAATAATAGTCAAGTGCTTTATCAATCTTAGTCCAGCCAGCTGCACAGTTGAATTCAAGGGATAGGTGACGGTATCTTCACATACTTGATTTAAGTATGTTTTAACCTTCCTATGATTTTCAGCAGCCACTGAGATGTTATTTAGTGCATTTAAAGCCCTCTGCCTAACACTGGGATAGGGATTATTGAGCAAGCTTTCAATAATTGAGATTTTACCTGCATTATGAATGACTTCCTTGGAAAATGGATAATCGTGGCTGTTAATTAGAGCATTATTGGCTATTTCATGAATAGAAGGTTCTTCAGTCATCTCAATCATGCAAATGAGTTTTTCAAGCTCTCGTGGATCCATGTTAGAATTCTGTTTATAGGGGAAAACCCAGGGCTGAACTGTCTCCCAGGACCTGCTGTCCTTTCCGAGGCCATCTTCAGGTGGTAAGTTGGGTTCATTTTGGTATGGAAATTTCATTTCTGTCCAGATCATGGTTCCCGCCCATGATCTCATTCCTGCCCCAGGAACCATGGATGGATATGTGTCTATAGACTCAGATGATTTTTTAGTCTTAAGTGCAAATCTGTTTTCATTATCATCCATGAACCAAGACGTTATATCAACTCCACCAGCAGCCTCAAGCTTATCCTTGTCTCCAGCCTCACACTCAAAAGTGACATTTTTCTCACTCTTGGATCTACACTCACCATTGTTCTCACTCTCAGCCCAAAACAAGGATCTTAAACTGATCTCCTCAATATCAGGGCTAGATGTTCCACTTAGCTCATCCTCATCTATATCCTGATCCAAAATCCAGGACCTCATGCCAGGCTCTTCCCCAGCCCCAATCCTAGACCCTGTAGTGGTTACATCTTCATCCCAGAGCCAAGTCTCTTTCCTGGCCTCAGCTCCAGCATCAGCCCCCACAAGGGAATCCATAAAGTTCTCCTCTTCAGATATAATCCAGGACCCAATACTGGCCTTGTCCTCATCCTCAAATATGGAATTAATGAAAATCTCTTCATCAGCCATTAATCTGGATTCAATACTAGGTTCATTTTTATTCCCAGACCTGGACACAATGCCAGCTTCTTCCCCTCTCCAGAACAAGGATCCTGTACTAGCTTCATTCCCAGCCTCAAACCAATATCCTTCATTGTCCTCCACCCCAGCACTGATCTGGGACCTTCCACTGGCCTGTTCCTTAGTCCTAGCCCAGGACTCTACACTTGTCTGACTCTCAGGTCCCAACCTAGACCCAGCCCGGGATTTTCTACCAGCTTTATTCCTAGTGCCAGCTCGGAAGCCTCCTCTACTGGCCTGATCATCAAGTCCAGGTTTGGAACAGCTACCTGCCTGATCTCCACCCCTAACCCAGGACCTTCCACTAGCCTCCTTCTCAGTGCCAGCCAAGGACCGAACATTGGACTGGTCCACAAACCCTGGTCCAGACCCTCCATCAGCCTGTTCTCCAGCCCTAGCCCAGGACTCACTGCTGGGCTGGTCCATAGGCCCCAGCCTGGACACTCCACTGGCTTGATCTGCAGTGTCAGCCAAGGGTCTTCCACTGGACTGGTCCTCAGATCCCAACCTAGACTTTCCACTGCCCTGGCCACCAGCCTCAGCCCAGGATACATTTTCACTGGCCTGATTATCAAATCTAGGCTTGGATCCACCACCAAGTGGATCGCCAGTCGCAACCCAGGACTCTCCACTAGCCTTGTCCACATTGCCAGCCCAGTACCCAATACTAACTACATTTCTAGCCCTAGTCTCAGCCCAGGAACCTCCATTTGCCTGAATCCTATCCCCATCCCGGGACCTTCCACTGACCTGCTCTTGAACTCTAGGCCAGGACCCTCCATTGGCCTTATTCTCAGCCACTGTCCAGGACCCTCCAATTTCCTCTTCCCCAATTGAGGACACCTCACTGGCTTTACCCGCAGCCTGGGAACCCTCACTGACCTGATCTCCAGTCCAGGGTTCCCCAATAACCTTGTTCCTAGTGCCACCCCAAGACCCTCCACTGACCTTGTTCTCAGCCCCAGTCCAGGACCCTCTAATGGATTTGTTCCTAGTCCAGAGATCCCCACTGGCCTGGTCCTCAGGTCTATCCCAGGATCCAATACCAACCTCATTCCCAGCCCTAGCCCAAGGCCAGGACTTAATGCCAGCCTCATTACAAGCCCCAGCCCAGGACCTAATATCAGACTTATCAACACTAGCCCCACTCCAGGACTTAATACTGGCTTCATTCTCATCATCAACCCAGGACATGCTATTCTCCCAGTATCCATCCTTGGCCTGAAACCTAAATTTGACCCATCGCTCAGAAGCAATCCAATCTTCAACACCAATTTCATTCCAATAGTCATGGTCATGAACCTTAGGCTGTGTCTTTCCACAGGGCAGAGTGTCTGTTCCACCTTCACTGTCAGAAGTGAGCATGGCCTTAGGCTTAGGATTTTTACAGACAGCACCTTCTGTGGCTTCTGCCTTAGATTTGGGTTTAGCTTTGTCCTTTGTCTTACTCTGAGAAAGGATCATGGACTGAGGCTGACCAGAGACCATTGTATCTTTTCTGGCTTCTACC